ATAGTTGTAGATATTCTCCCTCGCGCTATCGATCACGGTTAATCAACATTAAGTGTCTATTAAGCAATTCAGGACAATTAGGAAGAGGATTAAGATAGAAGAGGATATTCCTTTTCTTGTAATGAATACCGATAGGCTTTTCGTGATAAATCTACTATTCACGAATACCGTTACTTTATTGGATCGCGTTATCGTTATACTAACTTTTACAATCATAAATCATTTAATATAGATTATTTTTATTTTTATTTTCTTTTATTTTATATTTTACTTTTATTTTATTTGTATTAAACATATTTCTTGCACTGAAAAAAAATTTTGTTGGATTAACAAAAATTCTGTTCGAAAATGGACAAAACGGAATTCTGGTTGAATCTACCAGAATTCCTTTTAATACAACAAATATCTTGTTTGCACCAACAAATTGATTGTTGTACAAACAAGATGCTTGTTACATTAAAAGGAATTCTGGTAGATTCTTGTTGCATTAAAAAGAATTCTGGTAGATTCAACTAGTAATTCCGTTTCGTCCATTTTCGAACAGAATTTTTGTTAATCCAACAAATTTTTTTTCCAGTGTGCGAAATATGTTTCTTCATATTTTTTATTGAGACTAGTTTTGCAGAAAATTGTATTCATTACGCGGAACGTTTAACGTCAATTCATTACCTTTGCGCGACTTAACGATGACACGTGCTTTGTGACGTGTCGTCGACTGCGACTGCATAAAGACGGCGCAAGCACGTTCGCACGATTTTACATACTTACGTTCGCGCGTGCGACGCTTTGGAAGGTATATCGTAGAACGCGTGTGTAAAACACGCCGTGATTCACGGCGACTTTTGTGTCGGTCGAGGTCTTACTGTTAGAAGCACAAACGCGCGCGGTCGAGGTTTATTAACCTCTAGCGGAGACAAGAACGACAGGATCGCGAACAATTCTAGCAGCCAATCTCTTCGCGCTTCTGCCGTGCCAAAGAATTTCTCCCACAGCTGTAAGAATGACATTAGAAAGTATAATAATTAACCTTGCCCGGATGTGTGCGGGAACGTAAATTACATCGCGTAATCCTCTTGGCAGCAAGATAAAGGTGTCTTTTCATGCGCAGCAGCAAATCAGTCACGTGATTCAAATTTATTAGAGCATATTTCTTTGTTCTCTTATTATTTCAAGGTTAAAATTACGATTTTTGCTTTTATATTCTCATAATAATCTACTTTATTCTTAAAAAATCCATTATTTAACTAATATAATAACAATAATTAGAATTAACTATAGTTGCGTGTTCTTCTGCTTTGCTGCCTTTGCTGTTCGTTTAATTGAACTTCACCAATAGCAACATGCTGCACATGAAATGGTACCTTAACATCCAACCGTGGATATTCGATGACATACGATGTTAGGGAGGAAGATGAATTTATAAAATCTTAATTGATTTTATCAATAATCACACGACGCCATTTATTTAAATGGACAAACTTCATAATCTTAATTAGATTAAATCTTGCCTTGTGTGTTCGCGTGCTTTCAATATAACGCGTGTTTATTGCTTCAGCGGCCAGCGTCGTAAATAGCCATAAATTTCCGCAATGGTTTGTCATGTAAAACCGGCCCCAGAAACTAATTAAGTTACACGGTCATGAGTAATGGTTACTCGCGATCTCGTTGATTACGTCTCATTGATTTTCTTTCATACCGTGCACAGCATTACGCTTAACTCGTACGCGTTTTTCTCCCTCGAGCCTCCCAATGAAACGTCTCGCAAACGCTCCAATTTATAAACGTAGAATGTGCAACGACCATTTTCATTAGGCACATTCGTTCGTAGTGGTGAACAACGATGATGACGAGGGGGAGGTCACGTAATGTGACATCCTGCCTTCATCTGCCAACCGTATTACCATATGCGCCGCTTTCGTCTTTTATAAGCTCGACTCTTCCTCTCACATGCAGTGATGCTCAACGCATCATCGGAAAACTAATAGCCTGATATTACTCCAATTTAATAAAAAAAAAAAAATATATATATGTATGTATGTGTACACAGAATTTTCTCTTAGAATTTACCCCGAAAATCATGGTAATCGTGGGACAATATGATATTGGAAGAATTTTATAAGAGTTTCTCTGATTAATATTTTAAATAAAAAATATTAATATGTTTATAATAAAATTAATTGAACATATTTTATTTTGATAGATATTAATATTTTTTATTGTGATCATCAGAAAAACTCATCAAATTCTTGGAATATCATATTATACCACGAGATTTTCAGAGTAAATTCTAAGAGAACATTCTCTCCATGTAATTAGCAGAAAATAGCGTGATAATAAGAGGATCACTGATGAAAATCTTTTCAATGGTCCGATACAAGAAACCGAATAGAATTATATTAAAAAAAAATATAGGATATAACTCAATTTTTTACTGACCATTTTTTTATTTTATTTTTTTTTACTTGCCATTAAACAAGTAATAATGTCTCGTTTTTCGATCATAATAATATTGAGAGAAAAACTGACTTGCACTGATATTATTTCTGTTCCCGGGAATTCGCACCGATTTCCCTATCATCTCAATTTATCTCTCGATGAAAGGAGGATTCTCTCCATCAGTTTTAAGGGTTCTCGACAAAGCGCTCCAACTTGAGCCGTCATTATCGTTGTCGCTCGAGTTTAGTCGCGACTGCCTGTTGGCAAACTCGTCTAATCTCTCGCATTATTCCTTGGGGAGGTATCAAAACGGGCAGACGAGATACCGGATGCCGTTAGATATGATTTTTACGAGTCTGCGAGGGAAGCGCGCGCGTTTACTGCTCCGCGGCCTTATGGCGTCCACGTGCAGACGAGATACACATATATTTTGTCGAGGGCCCTAAAGAGAGTCGTTCGTCCTGCTATATTGAAGAGAGCCTCTCGTAGAGGGCTCGATTTTGAGCATGCATTAAGGATGCGTAAAGATTAGAAATAGCCGCCGCTCAATGCCACAACCCGAGAGTTTTATGACGCAATTAATCGGCTATTATACAGCTGAAGAGCAAACTCTGATGCAGCCGGCCATTATACCCACGAATCTTTGGGGTCTTTCCCATTCGACTGACTCCGAATTACTTTTAATCATTACTTCTCGGGAAATAAAGAAATAAAAATTTTAGTGTCAGGGAAATATAAAATGCAAAATTGCATTTTATAAACATTTCTGTACACGGGGAGAATTTTCTCTTAGAACTTACCCTGAAAATTTATGGTAATCGTGGGACAATATGATATTGGAAGAGTTTTTCTGATTATATTTACCACAATAAAAATATTAATATGTATGTACATAGTAAAATTAATCAAACATATTTTATATATCTTTGTGTAGATATTAATATTTTTTATTGTAGTAAATATTAATCAGACAAACTTTAATAGATTCTCCCAATACCATATTGTCTCATGATTATCATGATTTTCAGGGTAAATACGAAGAGAAATTCTCTTTGTGTAAATATTAGCTAAAATGAAGTCTTATAAAGGTGATTCGTCAAGCTGTTTTAATTCCTATTTTTTAAAATAAATTTTTCAACATCGACGCTGTGGTGAAAGAATAAGAGTTATCGGTAACAAGATGCTCCGACTTATACGTGACATCGAAATTCGATGCGTTGCACGCGCGAGCAAACGTTTACACGTACGACGCGTTGTTTGCTCAGACGAAAAAAATACGATTTTGTTTAAACATCGGCGACTTTCTAACGGGCCGACTGTTCCGGGTCGTAGTAGCTTCTTTTTCCAACGTTAACCCAAATATCCTCCTGACGAGTCATCTCGCGTCAACTCTGTTTGAGCAGCATATAAGTTCAACGAACTGTCATTAAAACGAGCATCCAGTTAGGCTAGCGCAGTCGTTTGAGCAGATGTTCGGCGAAAAACGAGCGTTGAACAAACAGAAAGGGATTGAAAGGGATGAAATAGTACCACCGTCAGTGATATATGTGTCTTGATGAATGATGATCGTAGTCAAATTGGACGAAGGAAATTGAAACCGCAAACGAAGGGGGTCTACATCATTTTTTATTCTAATAACTTATTTTAATAAGATCTTAAATATCTTTCAAAAATTAATTGAAGAAGGATGAACCATGGAAAAATCGTAATAAAATTTATAATATTATTTCAAATTACGATTTGTCAAATTTTTGTAGAAATTTAAAAAAATTACGCGACTCGTATTTAATTCGCATTGTGAACTACATTTTTAACTGGACTGAATCCCTCCATTGTCCATCATCGCTTTTGAACTGTTAAAATATTCCCCGTTGATCTTTGACATACAAGGGTGTCTCGCATCTCGAATCTCTTGAGCGACGTACTCATCTAAATCAATAGAGTGATATTGCATAAAAACTTTTTCTGAAGGGAGGACGGTCATCAGATGCCATCTGCCATTTCTGCTCGTGGTAAATCCAGGATTTTGATGCCGCGTCGAGTCTCTCGCATCTGAATAACGTATATGTGTGCACAGCGATGTAAGAGGAGATCTCGTGTGGGAAAGTGTTGAATGGCATGAAATGAAATATCGCATATAATACACACATACATACATATATATATCCTCTCTAAGCGTCGGATATAAAGTATCGACGTTTGTTATAAACGTCATGCAACATTGACGTACGCGTAGCTACATTATGTATTTAAATCACTATTATTCTAAATAATAATTCACAAGGCACCACAAATTATGATATTATGATACTGAACGAAAATATAGTTGTGATTAAATTACAAAGTTTGGAAAATCCGTTCTACGTGACACTTAAATACAAAAATTGCACACAATTTTTTTTTTGTACAATTACACATCTCTCGGATTACTCTGGAACCGGCAAAACTACGATTTGCTTTCCCTTTAGCGGCGGCGGCGGCAAATTATACGCTGCTTCTACCTCCTTGCCTACCGGATGAGATGATATGCGCTGACCAGAGGTGGTTTCTTTTTCTGCTTCCAGCATGCGAACAACGTGCGGAAATATGCGGGCGACTACGTGGCGCGACGTCAGGCCCGCAAAATGCCGATGACACGCTCGATAACCTCCTTGGCGCTGCCGATGAGCCAGGTAAGCGACGTGCCCTACCTGCCCAATGCCAAGGCCGGCACTTTCTTCGCCCGCGACAACGTCTCGAACTTCATCGACTGGTGCCGCAACAATCTCGGTATCATCGAGTGCCTGCTCTTCGAGACCGAGGACCTGATTATGCGTAAAAACGAGCGACACGTGATATTGTGCCTCCTGGAGGTAGCGCGTCGCGGTGCCAAGTTCGGCATGCTCGCGCCGTTGCTGGTCCAGATGGAGAGGCAGATCGATCGAGAGATCGCCGCCGAGAACAAGGCGGCGAACGGCGCCGACAACGAGGAGACCGACGACGAGTACGAGGAAGAGCCGTGTCTCATATACGGACCGCAGCCGCAGATCGTCACGAACGATCTCAAGACCCTCCACGAGTGGTGAGTGAAAACGTATACCATCTTATATATTATATATATATATGATTGCTTAAGATGACTCCCGCCTTTTACGTTTCGCTATGATGATGGCTGGGCACGTGACGTGCACAAATTCAGTCATTGAGAGAAACAACATTTCTGTATAATTTAATCTGAATTCGGAGCATCTCGGTATAAGAATGATCCACTATGTTTGCGACGCTTCTCGAAATCTTTTCACGATAGAAGCGATCCGCCGCTCTGATGGCACACATTATTTCGTCGCGTATCATCGCTGACAGCGATCGTAAACGTGCCGCGGCTTTGAAAATAACTCGCACCCTTCGGTGCACATCCGGGCGTATTTATATGGCGATCCAAACCCACATGTTGGGACGTAAATATCGCGCGATTGAGAATAAGAGAATGAATGTGTGATACTCGATCTAATGAACTGTCGATAGTTTTATTCATTACCACGAGATTAATACTTGGCGACGACGATGTCGCGAAAGATTAGGAGCTGAATAGTTTCTGCAATAATTACGTGATATGAAATTAACTGCTAATCTTTAAATTAAATTTCATAAAAATGAAAATTTGTTTATAATTTTATCCCGATCCATTTTAGTTATTAATTTTAATAACGCTTATTATATTTGGAATTTTTGCATAACACGCAAAACGAATTTATTCTTCGTGGAACAATACAATATTGGAAGAATTTTACGAGTTTCTCTGATTAATATTACCACAATAAAAAATAAATTACTATTTTGTTAATTGAACATGTATTAGTATTTAAATCAGATATACGTTTTATTATATATTTAAATGTTATATTTAATTTAAATATTTTTATATATTCAGTTAACAAAATAATATTTATATATAGTTGAAAGGTTTATAGTAAGTATAAGTTAATCATTTTTTCCAGTGTACCACAATAAGATATAAAATATGTTCCAATAATTTTATGTACACATTACTATTTTTATTCCGATAAATAATAATCAGAAAAACTCATAAAAATTCTTCCAATACCTTATCGTCCACGATTACCGTGCCTTTAGAGTATAAATGTGAATTTAAAAAAAAAATTCTCTCCAAATGACGGACTCTCATAATTCAACTCACGTGAATATAACGATAACATAAAAAAAATTCTGAAAGAATAATAACTCAATTATTTATTCTCTAATTACTGTCGACCTCCATAAAGCGTCACAGCTTATTACTCCGTTTTTTCTTCGCGCGATGAATACTCGTCTCTTTGATAGAGAAAGGACCGACCGCTCCCACAGTGTCGCGGCAGTGTGAGGCGTGTGTGACCTATCCGGCATTTTATTATTGGCCGATTATTATAAATTAACGGGTAACGCTCGGCGCGTTAAATGTCTCGTCGTGCGCGCGAATCGCGCGCTGATGGCTCTCGCTCGGCGTCGCGATCATTTCTTCGCCGTGCCATTAATTGTACTCCGCCGCTGGCGGAGAATGCGACGCATCGGTCTGACACTTTTCCCTTCGTCGATGATGTAAATACAATCATTTCTATATCTCTCGGGTTCGTGGCGATATTTCGTACCTTCCCTGCACTTCCGTTTCAGACGCGACGATATATACGATAGAGCTATGACGTAACTACAATATAAGGAAGGTTTCCCGCGGAGGAAGTTAAGGGAGCTTCTAGTTCCTTATCTGTGCGAATAGTTTGAATTATGATTATTAGACTTGAATAATATGAAAGAAAATATATATATTCGGAGATATGAAGTATATATATTATTTTGAAATTTATTATATACACATTATATTTATTTGTTATTCATATATCATTTAGGAGTAAATTTCTATTTAATAAAAATTGCCTAAGGAATCAATGAATATTAAACTATTTATTACTTTCGTATAAGTAATGTATAGTAATTTTGTGACATATTTTTGAAAGGCAGGGCGGTACAGTTTTGACAATTTCGATTGATAGATCGGCTTTGTATTGGCTAAAAATGTCGAATTATGGTCGACTAGCGAGTGTGTCTAACGGCGGCGATTACTGGCGGCGATACACGCGACCGGTATACGTGTAAGCGATGCTAAATCGCGGCATTTCACGAAGCAGAATAATTCCTTCCCCAGGGCCTTGCAGCTCCATGGCGAACGATAACGTCGCGTCGTGGCACGCGGCTTCTCGCCGTATAGAAATTCCAGGACGCTTTCCCGCGAGGTCGAGACTCATGGCGTATATACACTCGCGGAAGGTATACGAGCAGCTTTCTGTTCCGAAAGAAAATTTCGACATAATCGGAGAATGTTACGATAAATCTGCTCCTTGCGATCTTTCCCTTTTTTTTTTTACGAGAAAAGCCCGTTCGCAAACTTACATTTATGATATAAAAGATTGCTTCCTAGGATGGAAAGACGAAATAGTTATGAAACATCAATATTTTTAATTAATTTCCTTACTGGAAATGTCGACTTTTCTCTATAAAATTGTCACATTAAAAATACAGAGATTTTTATATTTAATATTAATATTATATATATAATCAAATTGAATACTTAAAACGTCGCTAGTGGGTACTTAAAATAGGAACGATATATTAATTCTCTCGACCCAAACTAGCCAAGAATTTTTATTTTATTTCCACAACGTTTCGACCATTGGTTTTTGGTCCTTTTCAAGTGAAAAATTCTTTGATAAAAGCGGTTACTTTTTTTCAAAAGTTATTTCAAATGTTTTTTAAAAAATTCCGATAATCATATTGTTTAATATCATGACAACAGTGTCAACTAATTGCGCTTTTTCACTTGAAAAGGACCATAAACAGATGGTCGAAACGTTGTGGAAATAAAATAAAAATTTCTTGGCTAGTTTGGGTCGAATTAAATATATCGTTCCTATTATTAACATATATATATATTTAAATATATATATATATTTAAATAACAATATCGCGTTACTCCAATTTAAAAATGAATAGATACTCTAATCAAGATTTTCTAACTTTCTAGTAACGATAAATAAAAAAAAAAATTCCTTTTCGGCGAAATACGTCAGAGATAAATGGTGAAACTGATACGTGGCATCGTAAAATAAGTGATATCTCGTTTAAAAGAAAGCAACAACAAATGATATCGTTCTCGATACGGTGTAATATAATAATAAGCTTATGCAATTCGAAATGTTGATATTACGATATTGATAAGAGTAATTATTGTTGCCTTCGGTATCAAGCGGGAAGTATCGGGGCGAGAGCATCAATAACTCGTGCGGATAGTGTATCGTAATATCATTAACACCCCCAGTAAGATAGCGTAAATCGCTGGCAGCGTTAGCTGGTAGGACCGAGCGCGCGTTGCAGCCGTAAATCTCGCGTGAGCGTCATTACAGCCGCCGTTCAAGCGTATTGTGCGTCGATTTTCGCGATCGGCTGCCGATATCGCCGGATAAATTTCACTTTGCGCCGTGGGGAGGCCGCGCACCGGTCCCAAGTAGTAATATACCGTGAAAGCGTTGCCCACCGATTCCAATAAAGTAGAGGCGAGCCGAGGGAAGCCGGCTTTGTCGGCTCCATAATTAACGGAAATATTTATTGCGTTCCAGCCACGAAAGTAGCGAGACGTACCTAACCAGACTTGGATCTGGATTTTCCATTGTCACCGCGACTAAGCGAATTTTATAGATAATGAAACAATTTCTAATATAAATATGAAAAATCACGGGCTATAAAATGACATTTCTTCTCGATTTTTGGAATTTTATTTTTAATTATCTGAAATGGTGCGCAGAAAAAAAATTAGCTACCATACCTAAATTTTAGCTGTCCGTATATTACAATCTGAATTTTAATTATCATATACCTATAAATTTTAGCTGTGGGGTAATACTAATATTTTTAGCTGTAGTTTAACGGAGAATGCGATAGCTAAAATTTAGACATGATAACAAAATTTATGTTTCCATTGTCACTTCGACTAATGTAAGCGAATTGTAGGTAATAAGAAAATTTCTAATATAAATATGAAAAATGACGGGCTATAAAATGACATTTCTTCTCGATTTTTCGAATGTCATTTTTAATTATCTGAAATGGTGCGCAGAAAAAAAATTAGCTACCATACCAAATTTTAGCTGTCCGTATATTACAATCTGAATTTAATTATCATATACCTATAAATTTTAGCTATGGGGTAATACTAATATTTTTAGCTGTAGTTTAACGGAGAATGCGATAGCTAAAATTAGACATGATAACAAAATTTCATGTTTCCATTGTCACTTCGACTAAGCGAATTTTAGGTATAAGAAAATTTCTAATATAAATATGAAAAATGACGGGCTACAAAATGACATTTCTTATCGATTTTTGGAATTTCATTTTTAATTATCTGAAATGGTGCGCAGAAAAAAAATTAGCTACCATACCTAAATTTTAGCTGTCCGTATATTACAATCTGAATTTAATTATCATATGCCTATAAATTTTAGCTATGGGGTAATACTAATATTTTTAGCTGTAGTTTAACGGAGAATGCTATATCTAAAATTTAGACATGATAACAAAATTTCATGTTTAATATAGAAATAGCTAAAATTGAGTTACAATAGCTAAATTTTTTTCCTGTAGCAGGCCAAAGATAGGATTCATCTATGATTAAAAAAAACGTACAATTAGTGCGAAATAGCTCGAAATAATTTTGATTTTAATCTTATAATTTTCCTTGGATTACAAGGATTTAATAGTCTTTACACCTTGTCACGAACCTCGCTCGTTAGAGTCAATCCTGAGCGCGAGATTGAATCGCGATTGAATCTCGAGATGACGATTACATCTCGTGTCTCGTGTCAAGTGTCGGACGGTTCAAAGCGGCAACTCGCCGCTTTATTGATAATTAATCTAATCTCTCTCTTTACGCCGTGAGATACGAACGACACGAAGACACATTTCTCCGTAGCGTTCGCTTTTACATTAAAGCCATACCTCGCGGCGATGCGGCGGCGATTCAAGGAGAGAGAAGAG